AATGACTTCTCATGTCACCTTATTTTTAGTCGATTGCGTCGCCGTTATGCGTAAATGCGGCGCAGTTACCGCAGTGAAAGTTTATGCAAAGAGTGTGGGTGTGAATCTTCTCTTCAACGACCCACACCCAAAACAATGATTATTTATGCTACTTAATCATCATAATATATCCAAATTGAAGAAATTTATAATCAATCACTTTTAAATAATAAAATATAGAGGTAAAAAAGTAAATTCTTGAATTCATAGTAGTCATTTTGACACTACTTTGACATGAATGAATTTGAAAAATTTCGAAATGAAACAATGTTCTGGATTGATTGTTATTCATCCTCATTAATAGTTACAAAAGCAAATCGAGCTTATTTATATTTCAATAATAGACTTAATGACTAAAACATTATATATGAGATATCATTGAAAATATCTTTTCAATATTTTTAAGATTATAAAGGTTAAATTTATTTCGTTTGCTTAATAGATAGGACTCTAACTTTCGACAAGTTTGTTGTTTCAAGTTTCAAAATATACAATAAACTTCGTTTATTTTATAAAGATGTTTGTCGAAACGACATAATAAGAACTAAATAATGAAATATAAATAGACATAAAATATATTCCCACAAATAATATTGAACTTATTCAATTATTTTATTTTCCATTTGCTTTCTTTTGATCACGTTGAATATACTTTTTCTAGTCACCAGTGAGATAATATCTTTGCGATGGTTTATTTTTTTCTCGTTCTTTTTATATTTTATTTTAAAGAAAATAAATAAATACAACTCGAGACGTTTATCTTAAAATAAATCGATTGTATCTAAACAAGCTAAATGAGACTTTTTAAAATTGACAGAAAGCATTGATGGATCAATAACACGTGAACAAAGTACTACAGCGTTTTAAATAGTACAAGACTTGAATTAATCTATAAGTGTCTTTTTTGTTTAGAGAAAATATCAAAAAACAACGTTTTTTACTCCAACATCGGATACTGAAATGAATCGTTTAGTTCATGATGAAGACAAAAAATCGTAATCTGTGATAGATTCTTCTTAATATTGATAAATGAATATATTTTAGTTAACAATAAAATAGTTATTTATTCTATCGTTTAATTAATGTTATTCAATGTTTGTTAAATAAACAAACAGTTGAAGATGAATCCAACGAATCATTACCAATACGTCTGGCGTTCAGTTTTTTTTTTCTTCTTTACCTTTTTCTTTCCTTCTTCATCTTTTTTTTTTTTCTCGTTATTTGATCGTGTTCGTTATTCGAAATTGTCCTAATAGAAAAAGACAGAGAAACATATTCATCCTTGTTTCATCCGCTTTTCATAAGCTGTTACACAAAACAATACGATATATATACAATCGGGTTTATTTTTTGTCATGTGAATAGATTGAAAACTAAAGGAAAAAATATGAAAGATTATCGAAAACAACGAATCCAGATGAAATCATATCTATCAGACAAAACAAATTTATTTGTCGAAGTTTCGTTTTTTTACTAAAATAATTAACTTTTAACTGAATTGTAAAATCAAATAATATCTTCATTTGTTCATCTTTTTTTTTGTTTTTTGTGAAAAACTAATAATTAATATAAATAAAGAGTTTATCTGTAATATCAGTAATAAAATTTAATTAAATGATTAAAATAGTCGAAAATATGTCAATAAAGATTGAACTAAGATTTATATTATATTTATTGTCTAGGTTTTTTTTTTATTAGTTTGTTTAGTTGTCTTAGTTTTAGTTGAAGATTATAAGAAAAAACAAAACAAAAAAAAAAAAGGTCACATACAGACAAGATAATGTTTACAAGTAGATAGAGATCTTTATTACAAATAAATTATCGTCGAGACAATATAATCATTCTTTCTTTTTCTCGACATTGGTTAAGAGAACATTAGTTTTGTCAGATAAATTACATTCAATAGACAATTTACAATGGAGTAAGAGACATTTTTATTTTTAATTAAATAAAATAAAATCATATAATATATATATATTTAGCTGGAAATATTTATCAATCAATAAATTATCTTTTTTTATTATTTTAATAATAATTAAAACAATAATTGGATATGAACTTGTTTCAAGTATTTATTAACAATAATAAACATAAATATAGATAAATAATATTATTAATTAAGATATTCATCTTCAAAATTGGACAAATCCATGTCAACCAAATCCATGTAGAGCTGGAACATGTGAACTTACTTCAAAATTTAATTTTACTTGTCATTGTATTCCTGTAAGTTTTTTTTTTCTTCTTTTAATTAAATTCTATTAAGAAAATTCCTATTAAATAAGTATGTACATGGTCATTTATGTGAAAAATTAAATTATGATCAACAACCATGTGAAAGTAATCCATGTTATAATAAAGGTTTATGTTCACCAATATATCCAAGAGATTCTTTAACAAATACCACTTTTATGTGTCTTTGTCCACCAAAACATGCGGGAATTTATTGTCAAGAAAATCTTGGTCAATGTCATTGTTTAAATGGAGGCACTTGTTATAATAGTATGTTTTATTTAATTATTAAATAAATAAATAAATAAATAAATAATTATGTTTAGTATCAAATGATGGATATAAATGTTTATGTCGATCAATGTTTACTGGATCATATTGTCAATATGATTTTCGAAATGAAACATTTTGTAATTATTCTCCATGTAAAAATAATGGTACTTGTATGTTGATTGAATCTCCAGCTGGTATATGTTTATGTCAACCAGGATTTATTGGAGAATATTGTGAAAAACGTGTTTCTTTTTGTCAAGAAAATCCATGTAGAAATAATGGTTAGTTTTTATTTTGAAAAAAAAACAAATGTTCAATGATAAATAAATGAAATATATCTTTAGGTACATGTGTTCCATTATCTGGTGTTGATGGTCAATGTATTTGTCAATCAGGTTATTCAGGTTTATTATGTGAACAAGTTCAAAGAACATTTTGTTCAATTGATCCATGTCGAAATGGGTCAACTTGTATTGTATTAAATCATACTGGTGATGGTTTTTGTTTATGTCAAACAGATTATGTTGGACCTTATTGTGAATATATAACACCAACAGCATGTCAAAAACGTTGTCATCATAATCATGGAAAATGTGCTTTAATTGATAATAAATATGGAAGATGTTTATGTCAAAAAGATGTAACTGGACCTTATTGTGATATACCACTTCATTCTTGTGCACCAAATCCTTGCGGTTAGTTTAATAAGAAAGAAAGAAAGAAAAAAGTATTTATTTAATAATAATTGTTTAGAAAATAATGGAATATGTGTACATGAAATGTCAAGTCAATCATATAAATGTTTATGTACATATGGTTATTCAGGTGTAAATTGTTCAGAAAATTTAAATAAATCATTTTGTTCATCAAATCCTTGTATGAATAATGGAACATGTCTTCAATCCCCAACAAGTGCTGATGGTATATGTAGATGTGAACAAGGTTTTTCAGGAAAATATTGTAATGATATAGTTATATGTGGTGAAGAACAATGTCAATATCCTGAACAAGTTTGTTTAGCTGATACATGTGTTAATGTAACAGGAGAACTTTATTGTCTTTTACATGAATGTCAACATGGTGGAAAATGTGATAGAATAAAACGTCAATGTTTATGTGAAAAAGGTTTTACTGGTATTTATTGTGAATTAAATACAATGTTTTGTGATCAAACAAATAATATTTGTCAAAATAATGGAACTTGTTTAATTACAGATAATCGTTGTATTTGTAATCACTTTTTTACTGGAAAATATTGTGAAATTCAAATTCTATCATATTAATATTAATTAACTAACAAAAAACAAAAAAAAAACTTTCTATTTGATTAATTTTTCGTTTTCTCTTATTAATTATCATTTTTATATGAAAAATTCAATTAACAAGATATTATTTTATTGTTAATTATATATAAAGAAAAAAAAAATAAATATTTATTGACCATTGATCTATTGAAATATTATCTTTGAATATCGATACTTGAATAGAGATTATTTAGAATAATTTTATTTTTTCAAATAAAACATCTTAGCAATTAATTTAACTTTTTATTATTAAACTTATTAATAAAAGTCAATCTTTGTTTGAAGATTTTCTAAGGTCGAAATAATTGGTGATTGATAAAAGATAAATAATAAGTATTCATTCTGTTTAAATAGATGTTAACGTATAGAAATAATCTATCAATCATTATAATGAAAGATAAATAATGGCAATTAACATCTTGTCAAACTAGTCATTAAGAAAATTCTATCATCTACCAAACGTACGATGAAATTTTCCGATGATAATACCAAGGCATATGTTCATAAAGATCTATATCTCTATCAAGATTTGAAAAACATGCACTATCACATTTATATTTATTCAATTATTATTAACCATAGACATTATTATTTTAACTAGGACAATGAATTTTTTATAAATCGATTGTAGAAATGAATTAAAATGAAAAGTATCGAAAAATCAAATGTTAATAAACTTTCGATTAATCGATATTATTTTCAATTTTGATTTGATAATAGATTTATACCATTGACACAAAAAAAAAAAGAAAAGACAAATATTTATATTTGTTCGAATAAAATTGAATAGTTTGAAAATTTTATTGATGTTTGCAATCAGCAACATATTATACTTTCATTGACTACATATATATCTAGGACTAACCATAAATGAAGCAACTAATCAAACAAATCCATCAAATTAAATCGAATACAACTTCGGATGTACGAGGTAAAATCAAAAAAAAAAGCATTACACTGCACGCGGGGTTTAAAAAAAACAAAAAAAAAAGAAGGACTAAGGAAACAACCGGACAAATACTGCCGTTCTTTCTTATTTTCTTTTTCCATTCTCCAAAAAAAATTCATTTATTTGTTGTTGCTTCACTTCCTAAAACAAAAACAAAAAAAAAATAATTGATTATTATATTTAAATCGATTGTTTAACATACTTTATTGATGACTACCAGATGATGGATCAGAGCCGACGGTTGATCTATTTTAAAATAAAATTAATTTATAAATAAGAAAAAAAGAAGAAACAAACTGTGTATGTTCTTGTGATGGATGATATGGTTGTTGTTGTTGTTGTTGAGCGATATTTAGTTCTAATCGTTCTTGAATATTAGTAAAAGAATCTCGTCCTTGATAATCAACATGTCCAGCTTCCCATGCTCGACGATGAGCTACTGAACCTGATTGAACACCTTGATTAGTTGTTAATGAACCATAATTTAATAATGAACTACCACCAAAACCAACTGCACCTTCAGATAATTGACCCTAAATAACAAAAAACAAAAATAAATTTGTCATCCGTATGGTTTGTCTACAAATGCAGATAAATCTGCACCGAGCTATAGAATATACGGGTCGTAGTTCGCACCAAATGAAATATTCGGGAACATTAGCTCATGCTTTTCGATGTCACAGTGAGGAATTTACTCCATTGATAAACAGGAGCTCCAATAATAACTGTGTTTCTATTTCATAATTATATTGACGAATCAATATAAATATATAAAATAGATCCATCGATTAGATTCGATCATAAGAACTTGTTATTATATTCTTATTAACCGAATGATTCATCTTATTCTCGTTCTCTAACATATAAAATAGATGCAAAAAGAAGAAAAAGCGAAAAAAGTAAAAAGCAAAAGCGAATAAATTCTAACCATAAAATAATCTTTTTTTTTAATTTGTTTTGAAAAAGATGAAAGAATATTGTTTGATGATATATATTCTTGTTGATGATAATTATAATAAAATAAATCATAATCAATATATTCAGGTTTATATTTATTAAAATAAGTTTTATTATGTCCTTGTTTAATATAATATATTCCTGATCGTGGAAGATTTTTTTCTCTCGAATAAATTATTTTAAGATTTTCTCCTATTGATATATCATTAAATAAATCATCAATTATTGATGGATTAGAATATTTTTCATTTTCAATTAATTTACTATTTTCTATTATTTTATTTAAATTTAAATCAATTGTCATTGAACAACATTTATTCATAACTGAAATATTAGACTAAACATTTTTTTTCGTTTTTTTTTTTCAACTTATTTTATTTGATTTATCAAATAAATAAAAACAAAAAGAAAAAAAAACGTTCGATAGGATAAAAATGAATAAAAACATGCTTTACCTCTCCTAATAACTCCAATTTGTTTTGTTCGCATTGCTGAATAAATAAGGTAAATATAACATGCAGGATTCAAACAAACAAATGCAAAAAAAAAAAAAAGAAAGAAAAGATAAATAAACCAACCTGATTATATTTTGATAATTGTGGCCAAACTCGTTCATACATTATTTTCCACCAACAAAGTAAAAATTCTCTTTGAACATCATGTTGTCCATCTAAATTACCTGATAATTGTTCATTTTGTGGATTATATGTTAATTGCCATGGTTTTAATGCACCAGCAAAATGAACAACACGAATATCATTACGAAATCTTTTAGTTTTTAATTTTGAAAAAAAAACATTGAAAAATTGAAATTAATTATTTAAAACAAAAAAAAAACGTTTAACTTACCGTGTAATAGCTGGAACATATGAATAAAATGTATTTGCTGTTACATTATAAACAAATGGTAAATGCCGAGATATATCCGATGTTCGCCAATTTGAAAAAAAACTATTTAAAAGTCCTTGATCACCACCTATTCAAAAAAACAAAAAAATGAATTAAAGAATAATAAAAAAACGAACCATCAAATGAAGCATGTTGTTGACTAGCAAATTGAACCAATTTTCTAAATGTATCTTTTGATGGACGATAAACAAAAACACCTGAATTAAAACAATCAGGCCAACCAGCATCAGGTGAAGCTGAAAATTCTTCTCTTTCAAATAAATCATCAATATTACGTAAAACAAGAACATCAGCATCAAGAAAAACACATTTTGAATATTTTTCTAAAAGCCAACAATTTATTTTTGTAAATGTAACACCAAGTTCAGGACGGCGTAATAAATGTAAATGTTCATCATCATGAGAATTCATTTCTTCAACAATAACTATTTCATCAAAACTTGTTTCTAATGTTCGTCTAAAATATTTCTCTTTTTATTATATTAATTATTTAAAAATAAATACTTTATTAAATCTGATAAATTCTTTGAAATCATTACAACTAAACGTCGTTGTGTTCCAACTTTCCGAAGTGATTGTGCAACGACCAAAGCTCCAAGAGCATAACCATCGTTTGTAGCCAATGTTACGAATGCTTCAGATGACATTTTTTAAATAGTTTTAGTTCAATCAACACAATCAGCTCTTTAATTATATTAAAAATATAAAATAAATTATTAGTATTAATTTACAAAAGAGTTTTTTCGAAATTGTACACAAAAGAAAAAAACAAGAACAAGAAGAAGAAGAAGAGAAGAAGTATCGTACTAACTGTGTCTTATCTCGATATATGTCCAGTTGTTGGTAGATATATTCATGTCTGACGACCTCATATTGCCCTCTTTATCTATGTATGGTCATGTATAGACTGCATGATTTTTCTTTCTACTAATACATATATTCTTAATAGTACAAGGTTAACACTACATGAAACAGATAAACAGTACAAAGTCTTAAAAAATTTCCAGATTAAAACAATTTCTCTTTATCTCTAATAGGTTAATATGAATAAATGAATTCTAGTGAATAAATAAAGAAGAGTTCACCTTATTATCTTCAATATAGAAAAATAGAAAAGAAAGATAATTGTATAGTAAAAGAAGAAAGTCCACCATCTGAATAGTAAACAAGTAGATAGAATGGAAATGATATATGAGTACAGTGTATTATGTCGAAAATAGAATGTCCACATAGTACCAATAATAATCAGTAATAAAGCAACGTCATTTAATATCTTTAAATAACCAACAGTTTATTTAGAAATATTTTCAATAGAATTTTGAAATTTATATTATTTTATTTATTAATTAAAACATATAAGTCAATATAATATTTATTTACAATAATATAATTCTTATAGATGTCATTAGAAGATTTTTTTTATTTTTCTACAAACAATCTCTTATCTATCTCGAATTTGTTTCTATAATATAAACCAATAAAAATCGTTTATATTATTCGAGGAGGAGAAAGAAAAAAACAAAATAAGCTACTAGGAACTTTGTACGTAAATGATCGTTATCAGTAACGTCAATAACGTTAGATAAATTCATTTAAAATAATAGAGATATTCTTTATATTTAATATAATTAATAAAACGAAAGTTAAATTATTTTAAATATATTTTTATTATTTCAATTAGATTTATTAGATAAATTAAACTATTCTCGTACAATTAATCAACTAAATTTATTCAATAATAAAACAAATCAACATAAAATAGATTTATTTCGTGAAATTTTTTCTAAAAAAAACAAATCTTAATTATAAGAAATAAGAATAATTTATATAGATTAGAATAAACTTCAAATGGAATTTGCTCTATCATAATTGTCTTTCTAACAAATCGAATCGAATCGAATAATGATTTTTTTATTGAGAGAAATTTAAAATAAAACAGAATTCCTTTTTAAAATTGCTAAAAATATTCTTATATTGTCAATTAAGTTTCTCATATATTTGATAATTGCTGTCTCTCTCTCTTCTCTCTATTGATTATCTTTGTTTTGTTTGTTTAGATATCGATTGGATAAATATTCTAATATATTAAATAAATATTCCTAATCAGACACAAATTGCTTTTGTTATTCTATCTTAATGATGAAACCATTCGAATTCATCATTCAATCTTGATAAAAACAAAAAAATCTTTCTTCACTATTTTCATATGCGTTTTTATTTATTATTAAGAAAATAAATCATTAATCAATACGGGAAATATCCAATTATCTATGGAAGTGAACTGTATTATGATCAATCGTACAGATAAATAAGTTTTTTCTTTCTTATAGAATATATCAAATAAATGGTATAAGGATTAAATATATAGAATTACTTTTGTTTTTTTGTTGATTCGCTTCTATTTATAATTTATGATAAATATATTATGCGCGACATAGAGAGATAAGTCCGTATTTTCTTGTTATATAACAATTATAGAAAATAAACAAAACTCTTGTTGTCTTATCTAACAAATAGAGATAAGGGAATATCCAATGACAATAAAAATACATTAATATTCAATGAGCCCTATACCAAATCGTTTGTTGGCCCCCAACAAGCAAAAGGAAGAGGGCCATATGATAATTTGTTTGTTGCTAAACTCGGTCTCTTTTCTTTCATCTATATTTTTATTTTTCAATCGTTTGGTTGAAAGTTTTCAATGAAACGATTGAAAAAGAAAAAGATAGATGAAAGAAAAGAAATCGACCTTAACAAAAAAAACCAAGTTATCATATGGTCCTTTCTTTTTGCTTGTTGGGAGCCAACAAACGAATTGGGAATAAGGATCATCGTTTTGAACAAAATTTTTCTTAAGTAATGAAATAATATGTAAAAATAGGGAAAATTGTTTTTTTTTGTTTTTTTCTGACAATCTAATAATAGATATTGATATTCAACATTTCGAGTTCATTTTAAATCGATAATAAAATCTTGATGAGATTAGTTTAATGTCTAAAATGGTTTATATTCATAAAATATTGAAGTCGAATCTGAACAAGACATATTCATATACATTAATTATATTTTAGTAAATATTGTAAGCGAGATTGATAAGACATTTGAATAGACATTGAGAAAGAAAAAAATCAATAAGAATAAAATAGTTTAAGTAGAATCAATGTCTATTTGAGATAGTGAAACATATGATGAAAAAAAAACTTGATATGATCAGATGAATTATTTCTAAAAGGAAAGAATTTCATATCTATTAACTAAGATATTCAATGAAAATCTTATTTAAGATCATTGATGATAAAAATAATTCTTGATTAAATAAATAATTATATTTCATTTTAAGAATATTATATTTTTAATTAAGAATTTTATTTTAAATATTTTTTTCAAAAGAAAAAAAATCATTTTCCGTTTTTTTGCTTTTTTCTTATCAAATTTGTTGTTGTTTTTATCTTAAGATATGAATTGATAAATAAATATTGGTTAAATAAAAAATAATAATTGAAAACAAAAAAAAAACTAAAATAATGGCTAATGAGAGAGAAGAATTTTTATCTTGTTCAAATGGTAATAATAAACATATTGAATTAATTAAAAAAAGTTCATTACATTGGGAAATAATATTAAATCGTCCAGATAAATATAATGCAATAACAACTGATATGATTGAATATTTAACAGATATATTTAATAAAGCAGCAAAAGATAATGATTTAGTTCTTATTTCAATCACTGGTAAAGGAAAATATTATTCATCAGGAGCTGATTTAACTAATTCAGTTAATTTATTTGTAAGATAATTATTTATTTCTATTCTTATTATTCGATTTTGTTTTGTTATTTATATTAAATAGAATTCGTCAACAACAGATATTGAAACAATAATGGAAAAAGGAAAAAATCGTTTAAAAAATTTCATTGAAAGTTTAATAAATTTTCCAAAAATTCTAATTGGATTTATAAATGGACCAGCAATTGGTATATCAGTATCAATATTAGCTTTATTTGATGGAGTTTATGCATCATCATCTTCAACATTTTCATTACCATTTACACGTACAGGACAAACAGCTGAAGGTTGTTCATCTTTTTTATTTCCACATATAATGGGTCCAATTCATGCCAAAGAAATACTTTTATTTGATCGTCAATTAACAGCTGAACAAGCTCAACAAAAAGGTTTAGTTACACGAGTTATTCAAGATAATTTATTTGAACAAGAAAAAGACAAAATTTGTCAATTTATTTTATCTTTACCTAAACAAAGTTTATTAACAACAAAATCATTAATACAAACATGGAATATTCAAACACTTAAAATTGTTAATCAACAAGAAGTTAATGCTTTAAAAAAACAATGGTCAAATGAAGAATTTCCACAAGCGATTTTAAATTTTATCAATAGAAGAAATAAATCAAATTTGTGATATTTACATCAACTATTTTACGACTATTATTATTATTAATACAAATTCATCACTTCCTTTTTTTTTTTACTTATTCCATTAGAGAAATTTCGTTTTGAAACATGAAGAAACTTTTTCTGTTTTTTTTTGTTATGGATATATCACAACGATGTTTTCTTTTTTTTGTCAAAGATTATTTCTAAAATATAATATATTCATGTCTAACATATTGAAAAGTCTATTGAATTTATCATTCTAACGAAGATAATTATTATTAATCAGAACAAACTTATAAAATATGAAAATCTATAATAAAATAATTTATTGAAATTAAATTGAGAAAAACAAAAAAGTCAAAATGACAATCATCTAACGAGATTTAATGAACAATATTTTTCAAATCGAATTAATAATAATATATAAAATATTTCAACATAATATTATAGAATATTTAATTAGAATAGAGTTAGATTTTGAGATTGAATTATTATTAAAAAATATCGATGAAATATTTAAAAAGATTTATTTATCTTTTTTCATTTTAATTTATTCTTAGTAAAATAATAATATTGAATCAGTTCTATAGTCAAATTATATAGAACGATAATCTATATAATCAAGATAATTTTATTTAATATCTTTGAAAAAAAATATATTTTAAATGGTAGAGATTATTTGTATTTATATCGATCTATAGAAAAGATAAGTTTAACTATGAAAATAAGTTTTATATTGGATTTTATTATTATGTTTATTAACTAATTTATTCAAATTGAAACATTTTTACAATTTAGATTTTATTGAAAAATAAATTAAATTTTCACGAACAATTTTTTCTTTTCTATTCACTAAATAACAAAAAAACCAAACAAACATTTTTAATCAAAGTGATAAAAAATTCAAATCGATTTAAAATTTATCTTAAAATGTTTTTTTCTTTTATTTTCTTTTCGTTTCTTTTCTATATGATAGATTATTCTAATGTAAGTTGACAATCGTTATTCAACCATAACAAAAGCAAGAAAAACAAATTATGTTGAAATATTTTATTGTAGATACATAACAAAAACGCCTTGAATAATATGTTTTTTATTGTCATAAGATCATTTGTAAACATGATAAGAAAATAATATATTATTTCGTTTATTCTTACAGATAGTTTTCAAATTTAAACTAACCAAATATATTCAACATTGTTTAATATGATTAGATATTATTCTATTAGTTAGCTATTAACTAATATTGATAATATTTAAAATAAATATTATTCGATCTTTTTTTCTTCTCGAAAGTGAACATTATATGAAATTTGTCATCGATTTTGGTTTTATTTCTCGGAATATTTATAGAAAAAAAAAGATCTATTTCAACGAATAATTGATTTGATTTTGAATTATATATTCACAAGATTTAAAGTCAATTATCATTTAATTAAATATGATTTATTCAAATCAAAGTTATATTAATATAATATGTGAATTTTTATTTTTTGAAATAAAATTTTCAGATTAATTTATCTATTGAAAATTTATTCGATAGAGCATATGAAAATAAATATTCTTACTACTTTAATTCATCATAAAAACAAAACAAAATTAAAATAAACTTTCTATCAATATAATATTGTTTTATAGTAACAAAACGATGATCGACTTTTTCATGATCTTAGATTTTAATTCAACAAATAACCTTTTAAAATAATATGTATATTAATAAGAATTGTTTATCAATGATGTGTTAAACTAGCATTAATTTGTTTTATTTTCTATAGGTATAGTTTTATTTATTTTCTCATTGTTCTTCCTGTCCTATATAAAGGCTAACTGTCTATATAGATTAGAATATCGAATAATTATTGATGATCGAACAAAAACAATCTAGAGAGATATAAGTACATCAAGATTTGTTTTCAACCGTTAATCGACTTTGATCAATATATTTTAATTGTTCTAATAGTAGAAACAAACTTGCTTGTTAAAAATCGAAGATAATTGATGATGAATTAATTCTACTTGAATATTATGTTCAATGAAGATTTTAATTTAATTAAAAAAAAATTTTTCTTATTCATCGAAAACCGAGATGAACACTATCAATCTTTTATTTTTAGTTTTTTTTTATAAAGAAACAAAGTAGGACAAAAATATAAACAAAACAAATAATATATATGCGACATTAAATATGTATATATATAGGTGTTTAGAGTATTAAAACATACGAAAATCAACGAACAATGAAAGGAGAGATGGAGAACAATAAAAAGCAATACATATAAAAGACAATACTACATAACCTAATATTGACAAATCATGATGAAAAAATGATTATTGAAATATTAGTTGAAGAATAATATAATAGACTAGAATAATAGACTGTTATGTTTAACCAACAACAAATCTATAATTAGAATTTATTCAAGTTTTTTATTAGGAATTAAACTATCACTGATAAGAATATTCCTATGTTCGAGGTGTTTTTTTTTTGTTAACGTTAGATAATATTTTCGATTTATTTTTCGAATTTAATAAAAATTCAATTTGAAATATGATAAAGATTTATAAAACGATTATTTTTATTTTTATTGAAAATAAAAAAGTGAATGAAAGAATAAACAGAAAATGATAAAATGATCATTATTCAAAAGTTGATAAACATTATTTGAAAATACGTTAAATGTTTGTCCTTGATTAACGCTTTTTTTTTTTCTTTTTTTACACAGTTTATATTTAACAGTGATGATAAACATTCGTCTGTCAAAATGTATGTATGCATATTTATCATTTTCAATTTATCAAGTCGAAATACGCAAATATACATGGGATATTTCAGTACGTCTTTCGTTTTTTGCTCGTCAAATAATGAGAAATCATACGAAATACAATGAGATTCATTCATTGATCATGTCATAAATAACTATTTGATTAATGTTATACATATCTAGATTAACACACACTCAATATTACTAATTAAATATTAAAATAAGGTATTAATCATAATACGAAAAAAAAAGAAAAAAATCATCGCATTTAATGTCATTCACTTTTTTGTTTTTTATCATTATCAATCTTTCTCAACATTTAAAGATCGTAATAATAGGTGAGAAAGCGAAATATTCAACTCTTTCTCATCGAATAATTAAAAATTATTTTATTTTATTTAAAAAACAAAACAAAAGCAAACTAAAATAAAATTTATCATAGTTTTCATTTTGATATATTTATTTAGTCGAATACTTCTTTAATAATATGATTATATTAAATGTAATATTTTAATGATACTAATCTATCAATCCCATTAATAAAAACAACTCTATTTATATCAATGAAATAAACTAATTTATTTTGCTAAGATAAATAAAACAAACAACAATATATGGAATTAATGTACAATAGAAAAATATATATTAAAGAGAGAGAGAGAGAGTGAGTGAAAATATATTTATAAGTCAGTAAGAAGTTTTCGTCGAACATTTAATTCCTTTTCTCCCGTTCTTGGATCAAATTCTCTGAAAAAAGTACAATCAAGTGGTTCAGCTAACATTAATTCACATGTTGTATGAACAGTAAGAGAACGAACTCGACCACCAATTAATGAACCTGTTTCAGGATCAGCAAATGAACCCATTATATGATGAGATTCTTGATCAAATGTTCCACTTAATGATACAATATCATAATCTTTTTTATTTAATTGACGAGAATTTAATGAACATTCAGATATATTTCCAACACAACTTAATATAAATAATGATTGTACACCAATATCTTCCATTAATTCATGAATTGTTGAAAGTAATTCAACACCAGGACCAATCCGAAGTGGATAACATCGAATTCCTGTACTTGCTGGAGCTTCTATTTATTTTAAATCATAAATAAAAATTAAATTAAATCAAAAAAACTTACGACGAGTAGTTCGCCTTTGTGATTTTACTTTATGTTTACGTGCCAACATACTATTGATTGTATTTGTTATAATAGGCATTTGGATTTCAGCTGATATAGATTGTTTAATTTTTTTTACTTTCTATATGTATATGCTTCAATGACTTGTTACACCGGCTTATATACTATTTGTGACTCATTCATATTAGAATGAGACCATGCATCGTATACGGTGGTGTTTGTCACGCCTTATGTGCATGCACAAATACAATATATAAAATTATCATTTGTCTACAATCAATGAATGTTTATTAAAGAATAATTTAAATTTATCTTTTCTTCCAGTTTTGTTTTTTTTTATGAACAATTCTTCAAAAAAAAAAAAAATCTTTTTTTCTAAAAGTTAATCAAATAAAAATCCATATAAAATTCTATTGAATTTTTCTTTGAAAATTCAACTAAATCTTATTATTTATTTCTAGGATCAAGCGTACCTATCTATTATTTGATAGAACCTTCGACCTTTGATGACATAAGAAGAAGAAAACTTTAAAGTACATACACGTTTTTATATTGACAAATCATATGTCCCAAAAGTATTACTTGCACTTTTTTTTCTTATATCAATAATCAAGGTTAAATTTTATCTCTCTACTAATCGTTTGTTTTAATATTGAAATTTTTACATTAAAGACAATTGACAATGATTTTGTTTTTTTTTTCAAACGGCGGACATAAAATAAAAATCATATTTTATTTTTAATTCATTGCTTTTATTATTTGTGTCTGGACATTGATCATTTGAAAATAATTAAGGAAAAACGAAGATTGAGTCATTGATATCATATCATCGTAGGAAAGATAAATAAAAAAAGATATTATCCGAATGATTTATGATATAGTTAAACATTTAAATCGATATATAATTAATTGATGATTAGTTTTTGATTAGAATTTAATTAAAATAAAATAATCAAATTTAGTAGAACTTTAAATAAAAATAATTTTCCAATGATGCTTTTTTTTTGTTTTATTATAAAACAATGTTCAAATATAGATTATCAATAATTAATCGATAAATATTTATTATTTAATTTAAATAAACAAATTTCAGTATTTAAAAAGTGAATTTCTATTATTTATTCTAAATAATTTAAAGATTAAACAACAAGTTGAATATAATTTAATTCATAATAAATAAAAATATTGTTGATATCTATTTGTATATTTCAAAATTTTTTTTCAACAATGATAAGATAACAATTTTTTATTAACATTTAGAATAATTTTCTATATCATACCTGATGATAATTATTCGAATCTAAAATATCATTTTATTATTTTAAAAAATAATTATATTATTTATTAAATGAGAATTATAGAATAGAGAATAATTTATTCGATTAGTCAAAAAAGAAAAAGCAAATAGATAATTTAAATAGAATAGATTTATTTTTTTGTTTTTCATTATTGTTAAATGTTTTAAAATGTTTCATGATAAATCGTTAGGAAATAGAATTCTAATTAGATATAGAATATTTGTTCGAAGAATAAATTGTTTTTTTCTCTTACAAAAAAAGGTTTATATTGGTTTTAATGAATGTCAATAAAATAAAATCTAGTTATTTCTTTAATAAAACTTAATTGATTGTTCTATCGTTTGATAATAATAAAAAGCTAAAGGGCATTTCATTAGTTCTGATCTTTTATCGATAAAAATAGAGAAAAACATTTTTATTTTTCTCTTACTCAGCATGAACACCATCTATGAACAAAAAAAGAAAAAAGAATCGCAGATGGAAATCACAACAGGAATCTCTTTTCTCAATGCTATATATAATAATCATAAAAAAGAAAAAAGAAATATGTTATAAAAGGTATGTCTAAAGATAAAATCCTATTGATAAAATATTGATAAAATGGGTTATGATCGTCAAAGATCTCCATTTGGAACACGAGTTGTATTAACATGTTATTGTTTATTTCTATTATTAAATGTATTACTTCATTCAAATGATGTATATAAAATAAAAAAAGATTTATCAAAGTATTCTGAATATCAATTTGAAAGAATATTATTAGTTTTAATAAGTTTAATTATATTTTCAATAAGTTTTTATGGTTTATGGTTTGCAAGAATTTATATACTTTGTTTTCTTGCTCTTTTATTATTTATATTATTATCATCATCATTAATAACACTTTTATTAATAATAATTAATACAAATAAATATATATCATTAAAAAATTCTCTTTATATTGTTCATAATTATTTATGGTTAAATAAAGCATCAACACCTTTATTACGTATAATTAATATAATAATAAGTTGTTTATTAAATATATTATCATTATGGTTTATTTATCATTTATGTTCATGTATTGAATATCATCATCAATATTGCTCTTATACGAAAACAATATCCACAACATCACAAACAATTATTTAAATTTAACAAATCTTTCAATTAAGAATAAATACATATTTATAGTCATAGTTTATTTTAACAGTTTGTATCACTCGACGTTTTTTTTTTCTTGTAAATTCTATGACCATATGAAAATAAATTAATCTTTATATTTATCATATTCAAACTAAACGAACTCTTTCATTTCTTATAATAGAATAAAATTTGTCAAGATTTCAAAATTTTCATTATTAAAAGTTGATTTAATACAAAAATAAAACAAACTATTATATAGATCAAAGAAATATGTTTAAACAGAGAAAAATGTCTAGATTTCATTATCGAACATTTTTCATGATAATATTTTAGTTATATTAACCTTACGTATAAAACAAAATCATCGCATGTTTTTATATAATGAGTAAGACCCATTAATGTGTTGTTTTTTTCCCTGCTTATTCAAAATATTATCTTGATTAATGATATATGTCAATATCGTTTCTTTTTAGTCATTATCATATATTTGATATTATTGAGTAAATTAAATTTTATTTTAAAATAAATCAAAAATCAATAATTATTTTATTATTTAATATTGTCAAATCAAAACATAATCTATCGTCAATTAATAAATGATCGAATGAGGAAAATTAGTATTTTTTTTCTTTGATAAATATTTTCATTTTCTAATCATATTTTTTATTTTATTATCGATAATAAACCTACAACTTTGGTAGATTATTTTCAATTCAATAAATCAAACAAATTCAAATTCTCACTAAATGTATCCCAATTGTTCAGTAAATAAATGAAAATTTACGATATTTTATATATATACAGGATGTTCCAAAAGTCCCTTTCACTTGAAAAATGCCTATAATTCCATTACTAAACAAGCTTAATCAAATATTATTATTTTTTATTTGAAAGATAAGAGTATAAAGTTTTTTTTTCTCTAATACAAAGTTCATAAATACTCTTGAAAGACTACCACTTCCGATGACACCATGATAACTTAGCATTTTTCGAAATGTCAAAAACAACCAAATGTTCCAACATTTTTTACTTTGCATATATCTCACTCGGAGAAAATGATAGAATCTTGATCTTTTTTTCCAAAAGATGCGCCATGAAAAGCTCTATAACAACTGCATAAATTAATTCTCATGATTTGCTCTGGTGGCTTTTTCCTTACTCAATATGAACAACCTCTATGATAGTGCTATGCTCCAGCAAATAAAAAATGTTTGCAAAACGTTTTTATTTTGCAAATATCTCGACTTAAGAAAATGATAACATCTTGATTGTTTTTTTTTGAGAGATGTGCCGTCGAAAGCTTTACAAAAGCTGCATGATTCCAAAACAAAAAACGTCTTCCAAACAGTTTTTATTTGCTGGAAAATAGCACTATCATGTAGGTTGTTCATACTGAATATCGGAAAAGCCACTAGAGCTGATCAAGAGAATTGGTTTATGCAGTTGTTGTAGCACTTTTCATGGCGCATCTTTTGGAAAAAAGATCAAGATTGTATCATTTTCTCAGGTCGAGATATATGCAAAACAAAAACTGTTGTAAACATTTTGGTTGTTTTTTGACATTTCGAAAAATGCTAAGTTTTCATACTGTCACCAGAAGTGGTAGTCTTTCAAGAGTATTTATGAACTTTGTATTAGACAAAAAAAAATTTATACTCTCTTCTTTCAAATTAAAAAAAACATTAGATTAGACTTGTTTACTAATGGAATTATACGCATTTTTTAAGTGGAAGAGACTTTTGTGACACCCTGTATATATATTAACCCTGAAACGCCCACCTTTCGGACTACCACTTGTTGACCACATGGAGTCCGTACGGATCCCAGTCTGATAAAATAGAAACAATATACTAGATTACCATTGTTTTGTAATAGAACTATAATCGTTCTGAAGGAGACTTATGTCTAAGAAGAACAAACATAACAGCAGTTAATTTTAATGGTATTTATTCAATCGTTTTTTTATGTTGTTCTTATCCCTAGCATGATTTTTTTTTCTTAGAACTGAAATTTCGGCAATATACAATGTAGCTGGAAACTAATTGCTCCTGAAGTAACGCTAAATTTTTATAGCATCGGTCTAATTGATTGTTATTACCAGCGTACTCTACTAGATGTCTCTAAAGTGCCCATGGAAGGACAATACCCTATCTAAGGCTACAATTACAAAATATTAAAAAGAAATTCATTGGGACTCGGGTGAATCTCAAGGTTGACAACAAACGTTTACACGTATTTCGCGATAGTTTATTACGTAAACAACTAGTTATGACGAACGACTGACGTCAGCGGCATATAGTACAAATCTTCACTAGAGCATATCTAGAGAGGTGGGTTTTGGTCTGACGTTGTGTGTGAATAACACTTAAATGGAATTAATTGGGGTCCAGACTGATCCCAAGTGGACGTGTCAAGGTTAAAATGTTAATTATGATGAGTTTTCTATAGATGAAGACTTAAAATCTATCTTGGATATTGTGAGTTGCTTTTTTAGTATAGTAGAACATGAAAAAACGAGATGGTGTTTTATTTAAATGAAAACTAATTATTACCTGAGATAATAAGAAGTCATATTTTTGTATTGAAATGATGAAAATTTGTGAAAATTGAAATTGCTAGAAAATATTTCATAGAAAACGAGATCTCATTTAAAAAAATAGTTTCTTCTCATTTGAACAAGTACAAATACGTCCTAGATATAAAACTAAACATACTTATCTAGACGAATGCATATTTCAAAAGAATTTTCTTCAGTATTAACTCTCGATATTCAAATTGAGGTTTTTTTTTTGAAAAGCTCCAAAAACAAAATACATTCATTTTTCATTTTCTCTATTTATCATTGAAAACAAATATGAACAGTTATTATGTTGAACAGATTGATTTTCTCATAGACATGAACTAAAGACACAAGTAAACTATTTCATGGATAGTAATACTATCGTTTGAACAGAATATATTCTGGATAGAAATCGAACAAACCATCGATTTATCTAGTTGTTGTTTTTTTTTGTGTACTCAAAAAGTGAGTACACTCTAGAATCGGTCAGTGTGTCCGGTCGTCCGTCCGTGTACACGATAACTCTTCACAATTACATCCGATTGAGCTGAAATTTTGTGCACAGAATTGTCTCATCAATATCTCGGTCGAGTTCGAAGATGAGAAGGATCCGTCAAGAAATGGCTGAGTTATCGAAAAAATTCTCATTTTTGACCAGACCATCCCTGAGGGGGGATACAGGGATTTTTTTCAAAAAAAAAATTTTTCTCAGAATTATCCACAACATATATAAATCGACTCAGTTTTTAACGCTGATTCCGAATCTGATATTAGTTTTGAACCAAAGCGTAGTTTTCTAACGAAACATTGCCTGAAAAAGGTCTCAAAATGTACAAAAACTGCATCCAGAAACCAAATTGCCTAGATATGTCTCAGATGATTAGTAGTTTTGGGATTTCCCAAATGCCTGGTTTTGTAGCTAGTCAAAAGGACTATCGAAAGGCAAAAATCCGAACTCGATAGCTATTAATATTGGTGATTTATTAGGAAAATACTGATGCCTGTATCTATCATATATCTCTTATAGATTCGTGATGTTGCTTACGATCGTAATTCCGCTAAATACAAACACAAATCCATTCAAAAATAACTCCTCTTACCAAGTTTTCCAAGCTGAACACGAATCTGAACTCAATTTCTGTGATTTCTAAAGATATTATATCACTCTGAGAGTAGAGTCAGTGGTCACCGGATAGGATCGCATACAGTGTGGTCCATGCTAACTTAGCACGCCTGTGTTTTTCTCCTTGTAATTTAGTGACAAGAGATGTATCTTGACGAGCTCTGTCTTGCAGAAAAAAATAAATACAGAGCCTATACTGCACCAAGTGAGAAAAGTCCAAAATACCGCCCCTCGGAGTATGCTATTTCGTTGAATTTACGCAGTTTTTGGCTTATATCACTTTTTTATCTCATAACTTACTCACTTGGGTGTAGTGAATTTATAGATGAAACTGTTTTCTGTCTAATTGAGACCTTCTTTAGCTCAAAGAGCCAAACCGTTCACGAGATAAAAACAAAGTGAATATACCTTTTCACTTTTTGAAGTACACATAACACTCGGATATAAATTCGAGGTTTTCGCATTTATTTTTTTTTTTTATATCAGAATATGATCAGATGAATGTATATAATCAGAATCAAGATCTATCATGGATTATACTATTGTAAAGAGATCACGACTCATCGAAAGCTTGAGTAAGTGACTATATAGGGTGTGAGTGTAGATCTGATCTTCTCTAATAAAACTACACTCACACACACCCTGATAAACTTCACTTGAAAAATTCCAATGTCAAGAAAATGCTTGTTTACACATATATGAAAGCCACGTGTGGGTTACGTCTTTCATTCTTTGTCGGGAGTTCTATACATGATCATTTATCGTTTTTTTATTCTTTTTTTTCTGTTTCTTTTTTCACTTACACACACATACCTCCTACATTAAAGTGAGTCTAGAGAAAAGCAAAAAAAAAACATTTGCCTTTTTACTGAAACATATTAACGTCACATATTGCTTACGACAATTTTCTTGGTCATGGTATCAGTTTTATTTGCAAGTTTCTTTGTCATTGCCGCTATTTTAATTTATATCTACTTGAAACGAGATTATTCTCCATCATTAGATGATCTACCAGGAGTAAAACCACATCTGTTTTTTGGTAATCTAATCAATTCGGGTATAATGACTGGAAAATCAACATTGACTCAGACCATG